CCCCCCGCCGGGGGTTTTCGCTACCCGGTAGATTTCGATTTCCATGAAAATCGCGCACCCACTCGCTCGCACGCGCGCGCGCGCAGCGAGGCGCGTATGTTTTCGACGACGATATTCTTCGGGCCCGCAATTTGTGCGCTTCTAAATGCGGAGGATGCGCTGATGAGATAAATATTCACGGGGTTCCGGGATTGATTCTTCTCGCCGGAGACCAGATTAGCGCGATTCTCCGCGAGCTCCGCTGCGAGACTTAATAGTTTCCAGATAGAAAGACAAAGAGGAGAATGAGAAAGATAGAGATAGAGAGGAATAGAGTGGGAGGGGAAAGTTCAACGTTTCTCCCTAAATTATCAATGAGATGGATTCTTTCGCAACGACGCTATAAATTTGCGAGCGCTTAAAAGCTTCGGCCTGAAAGTTTAACGATTTCTGCCGAGCGGCGCTCCGCAATCAACAATCATTTATTCTCCCCTCGAGAACTCCGCGGAGAATCTTCCTTCCTCGTTCTCTCCTTCTCTCTCTCTCTCTCTCTCTCGCGAACGTGAATCGACCGATTGCTTCCCGAGATTTCACGCGCCGACTTCGGGAACGATCGATCAATTGACATTCACCGGCCGGATTAATCTGCGGTTCGAAACGAGTCGCCGGTCGAGTCCGTCGACGAAAACTTGGCGCATAAATACTTCCTCCCCGATTGTGGTCCGAATCTTCGCAACGAGACGAGTCCGCCGGCCGACGATCGGCTGAATGGGAGGCTACACGATCATTCAGACCGAGATGTTAACCCGAAACGACGCACTTCACGCGTCGGAAGATCGCCGCACCAGCGGTAAGATGTGCAGCCGTCGTTCGGAAATCGATCCCCCTTGAGCGGGCATGTGCCGATATGTTTTGGCCGGACGCGAATCCTAGCGATCATTCTTCCTCTTTTCCGCCCCCTCCCGCCCTACCGCCTTTTCCTTCTCTCCCTCACATCACTGCAGGCGTGATCGTTAATTTCCACAAAGTCGCTTCGACTGCGCGCTCAGCCTCGGTATTTCTCCGATCCTCTGAAATATTTCGTTGGATCCGCTCGCATGTCCTCGTTCACGAGAACGACACGTTGCTGGAAGCCACCGGGAAGCAGGGGGGATCGACTTGTCGGCAAGTCCTCCTCCGCCGGTCTCGAGGTTTAGAGCGGCGAAGGGACCATGCGAATATTCCCTACGCTCGCTCTCCGCACCGGCGGTCTCAAGAACCAGCGAAGGGACCGTTTCTCCACCGCTCGCTGAGGCGCTCGCGAGGAACACGCCGAGGACGGCCTGTTCTTCAGCGTCATACCCGAGCCCTACGGCGCGCACGAGACCGCCCGCCCGTCCGGTCGCCTCTTCACTTTCGGCCACGCAGGGCGGCACTTTCCCCTCGCGTCGTCCTCAACGCCCTTATCGTTCTGACATCGCGCCTCCCCCCTCTCCCCCATGAGACTCCCTCTCGGCACGTACCGCGGCACCGGCGATACTCACGGCTCCTGGTGCATCGGTCGCTCGCTCGCGACGACGAAGACGGTGTTGCGTTCCGCGAGAGCTTCCCGAGTTGTAGCAGGTAGTAGCTTCAGCAGCCGGGGGATCTCGGTCGCGTTCCCTTCGCCGTTGCGCGGCCGTGCGTGCGCGCGATCGAAGGGCTCTACGCGGCCCGACCGCCTGCTACCCTTTACGTGATCCTGTGGTTCCTCAGGGAGACCGGCATCCCGGCGGCGGCGGTGGTACACGCAGCCCGATCTTGGCCTCGCGGGCCTCGTCGACGCAGGCCGTCGTTTACTTTCAACATTTATTTCGCTCGATCGGTGGACAGCGAAAGAGGGAGAGAGAGAGAGAGAGAGAGAGAGAGAGAGAGAGAGTGAGAAAGGGTACGAGAGAGAGAGAGAGAGAGGCGAGGGCGAGAGGAATTGACGTCGGTAAGGCCGATCGCTGCCCCTAAACTGCCTACTACTAGGCGGTCCCGCAGTGGTCCACCTACGCGACGCTTTTATCGATTATCAGGACATCGGGAAAAGGGAATCCCGATCGATTCTCGCCGATCCGCTGACATTCTCTCCGCCCGGTCTCTCTCGAGCCTCTCTCGGTCTCTTTCGGTCTTCTCTGTCCTCTCCCTCTTTCTCGCTCTCGGTGTTTGTCAACAAGGAATTTTCGGCGGCGCCGCCGCTGCCGCCGCCGCCGCCACGGATCGCCGATCGAAATCACGCGTTCCCCGCGGCGACGTTCTCCCGCTCCCTCGCTCCGCAACGGCGTCCCGATGTTCCTCTGCCTTCTCCTGGGCCGCGACGGGCAGGGAACGGATCGTTTCCGCTTTCAAAGGGACCGACGCACACACATACACACACACACACACACTCACGCACGCACGCAGTGTATAAACGCGAGAGGGAGAGACGGCACACACTCGCGATTATTCACCGGCGATCGACAAACTCGCCCCCGCTGCTCCTTCCGCGGAAAGGGAAGGCACCCCTTCGTCGTGGCACGTCGGAGCACACTGCGAACACCGGTTCTCCCGCCGAGATATCACACTGCACGGCTCGCCGATCGGAGCCGCTACGGGAGCGTTATCCGTCCTCGCGTCTCTTCGTCGTTATCGTCGTCGGCGGTGACGACGGCGGCGAACGTCGCGCGCGGTGTGTTTACGCTCTCTCCTCGTTTCAGTGTTTCCTCTCGCGAAAAATCGTGAAACTACGCTTTCGCGAAGGCAGACCACTGTCGCGCTAACCGGGAACGCGGCGACCCTCTTTCCGCGAAGGGGTTGCGCCTCCGCCTTCGTGCGGTTCTCCTCGGCGGGATGGCACACGCAAGAGAGCACGGTGTGTGTGGAACTCGGGTAGGCCTGACCTAGCCCAACGCGACTCGGCTTGGCTCCTCTCGTCCTCCTCCTCCTCCACCTCCTCCTCCTCCTCCTCTTGCGTCGGTATTGGTCGGCGGATATACGTCGGTCTCCCTTCCGCTTCCGTCGGTCTCTCTTTCTCTCTCTCCTCTGGCTCTCTCTCTCCCTTTCTCACTCCCTCCCTCCTGCCTTCTCTCTTTCTCACGCTCTCGCTCTCTTTCTCTCTTTCTGACGCACGCGGACGCGGTGGTGCGCCCGCAAAGCTGCCAGACCAGAGCAGAGGTGGTGCATTTCTCTGCGCTGCGCTTTCGATCGACCCGTTGCCGGAGGTTTCCTCTCTCTCTCTGTCTGTCCCCCTTTCTCTCGCTCCCTCCCCTCTCTGTCTGTCTTCCTCGGCAGCGCGAGTCCTCCCGTTCCTCTCCCTCGGTGCGTCTCGCTTCACTCTGTACGCTACTCTCCATCCCCGTTCACCAGCCCCCCCCCTCCCCGGGGGCGCACTACCACCCCGCCCGCCGCTTTCTCCCTTTCTCCGGTCGTCGCAGTGCTTGTTTGCTCGTCCCTTCGTCTGTCGTCGATGACGACAGCAAGCATGCGCCGATCGAGACCGAAGTTTAATTCTTCNTCCTCTTCCTCCTCCTCAACCCCTCCCGTTCTCTCGTGCATTTCCCTCGTGCGTCCTCGTCTCGCCGTTTATCGCTTTCCACCCTCCTCGTCTCTCTCGCCGTTAACCCCCGTCAACCCCTGACGGCCGCTTCGACGCGCGTGCAACCGACCAACCCCCCCCCTCCCCGGGGGCGCACTACCACCCCGCCCGCCGCTTTCTCCCTTTCTCCGGTCGTCGCAGTGCTTGTTTGCTCGTCCCTTCGTCTGTCGTCGATGACGACAGCAAGCATGCGCCGATCGAGACCGAAGTTTAATTCTTCGGATAACTTCTTGCGATTATGAGGCGCCGTGCCGGGTGGAAAAGTTCCACCGCCGAGAGTTCGGTTAGTCGGACGACGGGGGTCGGTGTCCTTGGAAATATTCTCTCGCGAGCTTCGAAAATATAATGCCCTTTCCTTACCAACAATGCGCCTTGGTGATTTCGGTTAGTCGATGCGTCAGCGCGACACCTGATTCGATATCCGTAAATTGCGAAAAGCTGGAGCTTTCGTCGGGCCATCAATTATACATTTTTATTCCCGATCCGGATTAGCAGACCTGTGTATTAATAGTCGTGATTTGAAACGTGTCTCACGTGATATCTGAAATTAAAGTCGGGTCTGAGATTTCCAGTTAAACATAATGATATACACGTGACATTATATTTGTAATCGTGATCCGACGTGGAAAATTCACATCCAACTCTAACCTCGGATATCATCTCACGTGAGACACGTTTCGAGTAACACTGATTAATACACGGGCCTTTGGCTCGTATTAATAATCGTCACTTGAAATTTGCCTCACGTGGGAGATATTCAGATTAGAATTTAGTTAGACTTGAGATTTTATTTACGAATCAAATATATAATATATACGATATTACATTTGTAAGCGTGATTCAGCTAAAAGATTCACATCTAAATTTACATCCGAGTATCTCACAGCTGAGGGAAATTTCAACCAACGACTATTAATACTGATGCAAATTCAAATTTAACTATTTCATATAAAACAACAGTCAAATCACGACTATTAATACAAACCCTCGACGTTGTTTTTAACTCGCGATCGTCGAACGTGATATTTCGATGTTGTTTCGAACGAACCTTGCGTACCTTATCCCATCCGTCTATCGATCTCATCTTTTTCTCTGCCATTGTCACTGGTAACGAGACTTGCGCATCTTCCACGCTGGAAAAGGTATTCGCGATTCGAAAAATTCCACTCGCTCGCTTTCGTCTAGCCTGCACCACTATTTACATCCCGCGCTACTCTCTGTTTTTCTTCGCCCTCCTCCCTCTCTTGCACTCCATTTCTCTTTATCCGTCGCCCTCTTGTAACCCCTTCACGGGGACGTGCGTTTAACCTCCCCGCCTCGGTCCCACCCCTCCAGCCATCTATTCTCATTCACGACTTGGCGCATGAGGCGGCCGGCCACGTTCGACGCGCGTACCAATGCAAATCAGTGGGCATCGTTGTATTTCAAATTTCCGATTTCCGACCCCCGACCATTTCCTCATACTAAACGATTTCGAGTGTCCGCGATCGATACACGAGCAACCCGGTAGCACTTGAGGTCCATTTGACTTGAGATCCCATCAGATACTATTTTTTTCCCGTGTAATAATTTATGAACTCACTCGATATAATCGGAAACATCTTGAGTGTTAGTTAACTGTTATCAAATATCCGTTAACATGTTGACATTCTAGGTGTTAGCTTTTATAAGAACTCTGTCATCCGTCTGTGGGTGGCAATTTTACTTAATACCTTATATATTTATTATACTTTTCAGGATTTTCAGGATTAGCAATGATTTTACTAGACATTTAGAAGAATGTCGTCAATACATTGTGTCATTCATAAATGAATGATGCTGATCTAGTTTTATTCACACACGAGTGACCCAAATTTTCACCTTGGAAGGAGTTTAATATCGCAAGGTTGATGAAATCATTAATATAAGACGATATATGGCGATTAAATGATGACAATTGAGGAAAAAGTCGCATTACATAAATTTTATAGTGAACATTACCCTGTATGCGACGTGTCAACACAACGAGAACCGAGAATTCGTTTCCGGTGGGACTCGCACGTGAATTCAGCGCGACAGTCAGCCCGTTGAATAAAATCCAAACTCAATAAACGTCATTCTAAATATATCTACACACGCAATGTCTCGCAATCGCGCGACCCCCGCGAGCGATGAGAGAGAGAGAGGAAGAGAGCGAGAGCGAGCGTTTCGCGACGATTCGACATTCGCGGGCCCGACGAATGAGATCGGTCGGTCCGCGGCGCATCGAGAGAGGCCACGTAATTTATTTCCGAATTATACGGAGGCAACGAACGGTACACAACGCGCTGTCGGCGCGCTCGCGCCCACCGGCGTGCGTATAAATCCACGTTGGTTTTTTGCGCGTCACCGGGTACGTGGAATCCGACTGGCCCAGACCCTGGCCCAGAGTCACGGCCATTCGAGATCGGTAACCCCGTTCACTTCGGCCTAGCGAGCGAGCGAGCGAGCCGGTGAACGAGCGAACGCTCGTAAGCGCGAGAGCGTGCGACGAGATCCTTCCGACGAGTCGCCGCGAGATTAGTCGACAGGACCGCCGCCGACACTTCGTACGCGCGACAGGGGTCGTCGAACCCTCGAACAACTCGTGTATCCTAATCCGCGAATAAGGGAGAAAGAACGAGCGATTGGGAAAGAGAAACGGATAGAGAGAGAGAGAGGGAGAGAGAGAGAAAGAAATATAGTAATTTTCGGGAATAATATCCTTTTTCTCATTTTAATCATAAAAATGGTCAAGTGAACTATCTTTCTAGTAAGTGTTATTTTCATGTCAGTGATAATAACTTCACCTGTATGTTACTACTATAATTTCTGTGGTTAAAATAGTAAAAGGATATTGTTGTCTTCGAAAATAACTATATTCTTCTCGCAGTGAAGAGAGAGAGAAAGAGAGACCCCGGCAGATTTTTATTAGCTTCAGTAGCTACATTACAAAAAATATACAGAATAAATTCATATAATAAAATATATATAGTAAATACATATAATAAAGTAATATATAAAATATATATGATAATATTAATATTATTTAGCCCCTATAAATTATTGCACATCCCCTGTACGCTTTCTCTTCCTAATATATTACGTTAGTATCTTCTAAATCTTTGCTCCCTCTTTATTTCATTAGAAAAGTTGTTATATATTTAGAGTTCATCATGTAATAACATTTCCTGTTCTTTGTTACTCCTACATCTATTTATCTATATGTATATTATCTCTCTGTCTCGT